CCCAGCCCAACCTCCATCTGCACGCAGAAGAGATGATGATCAAGACGAGCTGCCTGATTACCGCTGTCCCAAATGTATGTACAAGGCACCAGACATGGACACACTGCAGATTCACGTCATGGACTGTATCCAGTGAGAGATGTTCAGGTGTTCTCTTGACACCTGAGTGAACCATAACAAAAAAATAAAAAAAACTAAATACCAGAAGAGAAAATCAATAACATGACAGAGACAAGAACACAAGACGTATCTAAGGACTTTGAACATTTAATCCTGCTGCAGATTGACTTGAAGTAGACAGATAGCAGATGTTTAGCAGATGTTTTTATCATGTGGCTATAGAGCAGCCACCATGTTTCTGTACACTAGTGTGTGTATCTCTTTACAAAAAAAGCTCATCTGTACTGCCTTTCTGTGACAGCATAGTGTAATGTACTGCACGTGTGAATGTTTGTGTCTGCTTTGTCTGCACACATCTGACAGTGACAATGTTTCCTTTATTCCTGTGGTATTTGTTTCTCTGGATGTACGCACTCTTGAGGATTCATGCCCGCCTGTATTAATATTGTGTTTTATCTGCCAAAGTGAATATGAAAAAAAAACAAAAAACCTTTGTACAGACTATTGTTATGGAAAGATTGAATGAAATAAAAGGTATGAATATGAATACTTTTTTTTCTTTTGGCAAGCACATACTGTGTGTGCTGCAGAAGACTTTGTGTACTTTCAAATTGCGTACATTTATGAGAAACTCTGCCAAAAGAAGGAAGAGTTGCAGGAGTAGCTGAATAAGGCACTATTCAAGATTTTATAAAAATAATAATTATATTATTATAACTAATAGAGATGTTTTATTTTCATTGCTTTTGGTCAATTTTGGATATTTAACTGTACACAAGATACTTTTTTTTTAAATAACTTAAAATATTAACTGTAATCTTTAGCAAATCACAAAATATCCATTTTATTCAATTTTTTATTTAGACCAAATAGTATAGAATTCCATTTTTATTATAATATTATTAGCACTGTCAATTAAAAATTCCAGTTGAATTATGATTCGCCGATTAATTGATCAAATGAAATCCTATTTAATTGCATACTAATATTTGCAAATAAAATCCTATCACTGCAGTAGTTCAAAATAGCAAACCAAGTGAAATTTATTTTGCTTTTGTGTTAACCAATTGGTGGCTGACTAAATAATTTTTTCCCCCACTGTATATATATATATATATATATGGATTGAATTTTTAATATTTTTGAATATGTAAATATCAAATATTTGTTACATTGCAATGATGCAACAATACATAATATTTACATTTAATAAAAAATCACCTTGTCTAGTTGGTTAAAAGTATTAATGATGGTATGTGGAAAATCATTACGCAGATTTGGCAATCAATCGCAATTAAAATGCATTTTAAAATATCTATATTCTTCCCGGACATTACAACTACTTTTGAAGTGTCTCCCCAACTTTTCAAATATTTTCTAGACCAGTGGTTCTTCATTCTTTTTTACTTCAAGGCCCCTCACTTTCCAACACTTTTTATTTGGTTTAATAGGAAAAAAATATTAATAGTAAATAATATTTGTATGTATTTTTTTTTTAGCATTTTGAGTGTGATTATTTAGCTGTAATAATAATATTAACATATATTAATAATTATATATTATTATGAATCACTTAAAATCTCTTGGAAGCTTGCTAAGGCCCCCTAGTGGCTCCAGGCCCCCTGCTTTCAGACCAGAGATCTCCAAAATTGGGCATGAACTCCAAAAGGGGGCAGAACCTCCAAAATGGGGCGGGGTCTCCTCGCGCAAAGACTTTCACCATTGGCTCTGGTTTCAGCCAATTGTTATTGACTTTTCAAAATAAAACTTTATAAATTAAACATTGTTTCTAGTTAATCTAAAATAAAATATGCTATATAAATAAATATGCCTATATAAATAAATATGCTCCGTGAGAGCAGAGCCCAAAGCTCGTGGCCAGTGGTTTTCGGACTGGAGTGTGAACATCTGTGCAAGCAGTCAGTTTCACTGGTTAAGGTTAGGGTCAGGTGTGGGGTAGGTTTAGGGGTTAGCATTTTTTGTAGCATAGAGTAGGAAATCAACACTGTGATTGACATGACCAATAAAATCTTTAGAATCAGCTGTGGGGCGGAGTTTGCACTGAACTGGATTAGGGGAATAAATTGCGCATGCGTGTCATGTGTCTGTCTGTCAGTGGGAGGAAGCCACGCCCTATTTTAGAGCTCTCAGCCTGTTTTGGAGCTCTCCAGGCAGCCTGATCTGGACGAGAGGCCCTCGCTGCTGGACGACAGAGCTGCAGTACCGGCGGCTTTCACCAGAGGCCGCTCTCGCTCTCATGCTCGTCATTCTTCCGCTGAGGGGACGTGTCTGTCTGTGGTTCATTGGGTCTTCTTCCTCAGGTCTGAGTGAGTTGAGGTGAATTCGGCTGCCCAGGGATCAATATGATGCGAGTTGTAACAGCTATTTTGGCTCTCTGTCTGAGCTTTTGTGCGGGTAATTTGCAATTTTCTTTCAATTAAAGTTCGATATGCAGTACCGTTCATTCACGGCTTTCGATCTCTTCGCCGATCGTCAGACAGGCTGACATCGAGATGTCTCAAGCTAACGTTGAATTGGTTCTGTTTTATCACAGTTATCTATTAACGACGTACACACCTTTATAGATCACTTTAATTACTTCAGCGACCAAACTTGAGCTGTAACATGTAAATGTTATTCGTAAGGATTGTAGTGTGACCGGTGTTTTCTCTCCTCAGCTGAGACTTGCACAGACCCAGTCATTTCTCCGTCTTCATACACGACGACAGACGCGCTCATCTCCTCCGAGACCGTCTTCATCGTCGAGTTAAGTCTGGCGTGCGCAAACGGAGCTCAGGTGAGTGGACTAGCGGTTCTTTACCTGTTTCGTATATGCACGTTTCATTGGTACAGAACTGACCAGACTTGTTTTTTTGTATTCAGAGTGTTGCCCTGTATGCAGATGTCAATGGCAAGCAGTTTCCTGTGACCAGAGGCCAAGATGTTGGCAAATACCAGGTAAGGTTACAGAGGATTTAAGGTCTTCTAACAAAGCCGTACTTGTAAGTTTCCTCTCTATGTGTAAGCAACTGCTTCATTTATTTATTTTTTGTCCAGGTCTCATGGAGTGTTCCTCATAAGCAGGCCAGCTCAGGCACATATCAGGTCAAATTCTTTGATGAGGAGTCTTACAGTACTTTAAGAAAGGTTGGTAAAAATAAGGAATGATTGGCATGATTCCTCCATAAATTAAAGTTCTGTCATCATCATTTGCTCACCCACATGTCATTCCAAACCTATATGACTTGCTTCTGTGGAGCATAAAATAAGATATTGTGAAGGATGTCCAATGAGCACCAATATAGTTTGGTAACCAGTATTCTTAAATATATATTACATTTTTTGTGTGTGTATTCTGCATAAGAAAGAAATGAGTACATATTTGGAATGACTTGTGGGTGAGTAAATAATGACAGCTTTAATTTTTGGGTAAATTATCCATTTAAAATACTTGATGAGCAATGGCGGAGCTAGAGTTTTACACATGGAGTGGCCAGGGCTAATTCAAGGGGGTCAATAGACCGTGACAGTAAGTCAGTGTATAACTCCAACCTGGCATAAAAAAGCTGATTACTTCACATTACCCCACATTAGCTATACATTCCTACCATAACTTCAAATGTTAGTCTATTGGAACTTATTTCTATCATCTGATTAACCAGCAGTTGGAGCAAAAGATCTAACATGAACTTATACAGAATTTTGTAAATGTTGTTCAGGAAACCTAAAACTTCAACTTGCTTCAAACAGGGCTGCCAACTTTTGAGTTCAGCCTGGAGTGAGAATTATTCAGGAATAATTAACAAGCTTGCGATCAAGTGTGTTATTTTTTTCTCAATTTTTCTAAATTAAACTATACAGGGAACCCTCTTGTTAAGGGTAAAAGTAATAATTGATTTGTATTCAAGTTCATATTAGACCATTTTTATAGAAACGTTGTATCTATGCGTTTTTATCAATTATAATAAAGAGTAATTATGAGTAAAAAAAAAGAAATGTAATTCTTGCAAAATTCTCCTCTCTATAGTCAATTTTTCTTTAGTTTATGGACACTGAATGGAGTTTTTGAGGTTATGTGACAATATTTTCAAACACCGTAACATTGAGTGATTACATGAGACACTATACATTCAGTAAATTGTAGTGTATCTTTCAACATGCTCTGGGATGTTCATTCATGTTTATTTCATGCTAATTAGAATGCACTCCTGCTTCCCTTGAACTGAGGCAAAGCAGGAGCGCACGTGAACAGTCACGCCACTAGAGCTCCAAAACTGAATTTATCGTTTGAAATTCTTAATAAAACAGAATTTGAATGCTGAGACTTTTTTCCTCTATTATCAAAAGTAACCTGCTCTGTCTTGTCTGTCAGCGCGTCTGTGTCCTCTTTGCTCTGTGATGTTTTTCACTCCATAAGAAAATGAATGTGTGGCGTGAGAGTTAGCAGAAGCTAGGTACACCGGACGAGATGAAGCACGATGTGGCACACCAGACGTGTTGCGTCCTTGAGTTCAAGGCTAAAATAAATGCTACTTTCAGTACGATTAGACAAAGAAAATGAAAGAGTAGTGTACTAAATTTTGGGGTGACCAATCAGATGTCAGGGGTGTCTAGTGCCACCCTAAACACCCCTCTAGCTCCACCACTGTTGATGAGAACTCTATATTCAATGGTGCTGATGAAAATGTTAATGCTTTCAGGCTCAGAGAAACAATGAAGATGTTGATGCCATCAAGCCTTTGTTCTCGGTCAATGTGGATCACAGGGTAGATATGCATACTAATCTTCATTGTCAACAATCACCTTATCTTTGTAATGATTAGGGCTAAGAAAAACCTATAAACTGATATTAACAAAAATATACGTCCACACAGCATTGTGTTGCTACTACTTGTTTCCTCTATGATTTTGTCTCTGTTTATTTATCAGTGTATTTATGAATTGCAGGGTGCATGGATTGGTCCCTGGGTGTCCACGGAGGTCTTGGCTGCTCTGATTGGCATTGCGGTCTACTACCTGGCCTACAGCACCAAAAGTGCAATCCAGGCTTGAGATTTTTCCACCACACTGTTCAAACTAATCTTGAGGCATTCCCTATTCTGACATTTAATATGCATATTTTAGTGCCATGGACACCTTGGCTAAAACATGAGACTGGTTTGTTGTAGAGCTTGAGTGAAAATATCAGTACGGACATTAATTATAACAGCCAAAGGTGGTATGTAATTTTTTTTTACAAACTCAAATTTAAGAAATAAATGTTTTCATTTGTGCTATTAATATTAAACCTCAGAAAGACAAAGACAATCACACTTTCAAGGTGATTATCTGTGACATAAAATCATAGTCCAGTTCTGTATTGTGAAATGTCCCAAATATCGATGAAATTCATTGACACTGGGAATAAACAACTTTTCTCTGAGTTTTCCTGACTCGTTTTTTGTGATAAAAAGCTTGTTTAATTAACCACCCCACCTCATTAACATTCTGACATCAGATATCTCACACACACACACACACACACACACACATATATATATATATATATATACATAATATATTGTTCGCAAATACATGTATTGTCATTATTTGCAGTAATTTATGTTTTTGAGGAAGCAAATGTAACCAGGACATAATTTGCTTCGAGTATATATGTGATTGTCAGTATATTTGCATGAATACAGCCGTCTGATGCACCTTTATTGCAGAACCACAATAGGCAGAGCTCAAGATGGCAGACTATGCGATGTTTACTTTTGAGGGGGTTTCAGTGTGACCAGTCAAATTCAAAACATCCTAGAGGTAGTTCATTTTTGTGCAAGATTAACTTTTTTTGAGTGTGAGTGTATTCTGGCAGTAATCTGTCTGTCAGCGATGAATTGTCTTAAGTAGTGTCATAAGGTGACTCTAAACTCCCCTCTGCAGGGTGAGATGGTTTAGTCCGCAAGCGCGCCGCGTCCACTAGTTTCTACGAGCAAGCGTGTCCTGTAGAAACGCCCTCTGCCTGTCAGCCGTTTATCCTGTGAAACGACTCGCCCTTCTGTTCCATTCCCGGTGTTTCACCATCTGACTGAGGAATAAATAAAATTCACTGTAGCCATGTCAGTTTCTGATCCTCCGTCAGTGGACTGTGGCGGAGCGGGAGGGTATGGAGCCTTTTACCCGGCGGGATACCAGGCGCTGAACCCGGAGGAGCACGGCCTAGACCGCGACTTCCGGCTCACGGCCTTTTCCGATATGAAAGGATGAGGGTGTAAAGTCCCGCAGGAGACTCTGCTCAAACTCCTGCAGGGACTAGAGCCTGACCGTCCGCCCGGAGAGGACGGCGGTTCGGGGACGGGTGTTGGAGACGAGACCGCTGAATTCGGGCAACTTGTTTCAGTTGCTCAGGGTCCTCGACTAGGTAAAGTATGTGCGGCGCGCTGACCTGTCACACCATCGCTAGCCAGCGCTGATCCGTGAACCTGTCGTTCTTTTGAGTCGGATCTTTTCCGTTGTTCAATCTGTTGAACCGCTTAAAAAATCACCAACTGAACTCAGAAATTGTGAGTTTGCTTTTACTGATAGTAGGTGCATTTGGAGTGAACCAAGCATTTGACTGATAGGGCGAAAATTAGATTACCTAAATAGCCACAAGCAACATTTATATGAATAAAACATCCTGGAAATATATCTTGGACTTGATTATATGATAGAATTTCCCAAAAAAGGCGAACACATTGGTTAATAGAAAAAAACATTAATAAGCAGTAAGATCTTAAAAAAATCACTGAATCGGTCTTGTGAACCGGTTCATGGGAACGAACTGTTCAAAAGAACCGAATCGCGGGAATGAGTTAGCCTTCCTTTCATTGCCAATCTGTGCATGTAGACAGGTCTGACTACAGATAGTTGATGGTTAACCAGCCGGTTATGCCGTAAAGTTGGCAAAATAGAAACTAGCCGTTTTGTTTTCTTGTATCAGTCCTTTAATATACCCTGATTAACCTTACTATATGACTATATTAATATATTAATGTATTATTATTATTATTATAGACGTTATTTAGCATGCTACATGTTGCCATCTATTTATGTATAACACAGAACTGCAAAGTACTGTTATTTTTATATTATTCAAAAGTCTCAATCTCAAAAATTACATAACATCTGTGTTACTAAACTGTTTGTTTAACCTTTGGCTTATCCTGTTAATTAAAAACTACTAGGAAGTAAAATGCAATCATTTGAAAGAGATGTGAACTATGGACCCAGGCTATAAGTTAATGCTTTCCCCTGCAAAATGGATCAAAAATAATCTTACAAAAATGCTTCTTACCATTGCCAACTGAGGGGTTTTATGAAGATTTAAGTGCATATATTATATGATTATTCAAAGCTTCTTTAAAAATACATGCACATTGTGCATGAAATCACAGAGGGTGTCTGTTCTTTCTTGGATTAAGGTATTGGAATGGACTCATGTGTGATCCCTCTGAGGCATGGAGGTCTTTCCCTGGTCCAAACCACAGATTTCTTCTATCCTTTAGTGGAGGATCCTTACATGATGGTGAGTGATCTCTATCAATATTTTGGAAATGTTAGCATGGAACTTGCAAATAAGTTTGAGACTCACATTCTTTTGTTTATAGGGACGAATTGCCTGTGCAAATGTTCTGAGTGATCTATACGCCATGGGCATCACAGAGTGTGACAACATGTTAATGCTTCTCAGCATCAGTCAGAAGATGAATGAGAAGGTTAGCTGGGATCGCTCTGCTTTCATTTTCTCAGTCGTATAATAAAAAAAAAAATTGTAACGTTTCATTTGGATATTTACTATATTGGTTTTTGCAAATTCAATATGCTGAGTGTGAAACGGTTAATTTTCTTTGTACTGTGCTGTTGTTCTCTCAGGAGAGAGATCAGGTGATGCCTTTAATGATGAAGGGCTTCCGTGATGCGGCAGAAGAGGCTGGGACTTCGGTAACCGGGGGACAAACAGTCATCAATCCCTGGATCATCGTCGGGGGCGTGGCCTCTGTGGTGTGCCAGCCCAATGATTTCATCATGTGAGTGCCTCTGTCTGCTCTCTCGTTAAATCAAAGGACTGTGTGTCTGTACACTTGGTTCTGAATGATCCAGTTTTTCACTTAATAGATATTTACTAGAATTATAACTGAATATTCATTGTGTGACACTTCACAGTTTTAATTTTGTAAATGCTCACATCTGTTTGTGTTTGCGTGCAGGCCTGATAGTGCTATACCTGGAGATGTGTTAGTTCTGACTAAACCTCTGGGAACTCAAGTAGCAGTGAATGCCCATCAATGGCTGGATATAGTGAGTACAGCTGTGTATTAGCCTCAAATATGACTGACATCTTTGGAATGATTGCTTTTGTTTCTCTTTTCCCCTTTTTGTGTAGAAGTTATGAAGAGATAACAACTTAGCATGATTGTATCACATCTCTGTAATCTCATCTCATTTCTTTCTATATCTTTTTTACCTCTATGCTTAATTTATTTAGCCTGAGAAATGGAACAAGATAAAGTTGGTGATATCCAGGGAGGAGGTGGAGCAAGCTTATCAAGAGGCTATGCTCAATATGGCCACACTCAATCGCACTGGTATGTCATTGCATAAGAATAAGCATGCATCTTAGCGTGGACTCATTTTAACTGTAGCACCAATATTCAGTACACACATAAATGGTGAGAAAAAGAAAAACCCCTTTAAGTATATTCACCACTGTTCAAAAGTTTGGGTTCAGTAAGATTATTTTAATAATTCATAATATGACTGTTTCTGCACTATTTTTTTAATCAATAAATGCAGCCTTGGTGAGCATGAGAGTTTTCAAAAACAAAAAATGCAGACTTTTGAACGGTTGAGTATAAGGTAAATTAAGCAGTTTAAGCGATTTTTAGCCAAATACAAGAGTTTTTATATTGTTTGCAAATGTTTTTATTCTCTCTCTCTCTCCAGCTGCTGCCTTAATGCACAAATTTAATGCACACGCTGCCACGGATGTCACAGGCTTTGGGATCATAGGTCATGCACAGAATCTCTCCCAGCAGCAGAAAAATGACGTTGCCTTTGTCATTCACAACCTTCCGATTATCTCCAAAATGGCCGCAATCAGCAAAGCTGGTGGCAACCTGTTTGGGCTTTTGCAGGGCACCTCTTCTGAAACATCAGGTGAGAGTCACAGCTTATTGCACAGGCACAATTTTTTTAAAGTGAACCAATAATTGTTATAACTTTGAAATTACACTGAAACCTGAAGCAACTTAACATAATCAGTTTTGGATAATTTCTTCATAAATAAAGATTGCTTTCACTTCAAATATTTTAACAAAAAGCGCTGCTCCTTCGTCGGTCTCCCTGCATCATCCCAACGGACAATCTTGAAGGCAAAGTGAAAAGAAATGTTCAAAATGAAGTTTTAATAGAGAAAGATTTGTATCTTTATTTTTTCATGTGTTATTATTAATAGAAATAAATTAACCATAAATTAAAGAAAAAAATGTACACTGCACAGCCTAATTATATTAAAATATAGTGGACTAACAATATCACTACTCACATTTGTTTGGTTACATTTTAATAAAAATAAATACAGATTATATTCAAGGTCTTCCACAGGTTTTGCGGTATTAACATTAATGATTAATCAATTATTCATTTATAACAATTTCTGAAAATGGACATTCCTGGGCAGTAGAGATTTCTACAAGCTCTCAGGTAGATAAAACTCTTTGTCCTGCCTCTCTCTCTCAGGTGGTCTGTTGATCTGCTTGCCGCGGGAACAGGCAGCCCGGTTTTGTGCTGAGATGAAATCCAGTCGTGTGGGTTTGTCGGGAGCAATGGGGCAGGACGGAGGGGCAGGCGATGGGCAACAGGCTTGGATCATTGGCATTGTGGAGAAGGGCAATCGTTGCGCCCGCATCATTGACAAACCTCGGATCATCGAGGTCCCGTACCGTGGCTCTGTGGTCAGCGCACAGGAGGGGAGCAACAATAATGCCAGTCCTCCTGAGGTGCAGCTGACATAACAACTCCACAGCGCCACGGAGGGTCTCTCAGTGATCATCATTCTTTATCCCTGTCCCTTAGTATGTACTCAGTGGGCTTGAAAGATTTGAATGTGTGTGGCCATAACAGACATGGTGTTTGTGTGAAGGACAGAGTATGTGTGGTAACTTCTGCTGTCCATTTCCTCCCCCTGTTCAACCAAAGGGTTGAGAGCAACAGACCAAAAATTTTTTAATTTACCTGGTGGGAGAGGGAATGGACAACAAGCAAACATATTTTCATCTCTCGTTCTCCAATTCATTCTTTCATACACACACACCTCCACTTTGTTTCCCTTTTTTCCAGATTGAGCTGTTTTTCAATGTCTACCAGCTGTTGGTATGAAAGATAGTACACCCAAACATG